GTTTGCAGCATGCGGTAATTTTACATACGGACAGGACTGTGCCTTGAACTGCTCTTGTCACGCGAACAACACAGTTCTCTGTGATAGTGTTACTGGGGCATGCATATGTACTCCCGGTTGGACGGGAAGTTTCTGTAATGAAAGTAAGTAGTACTACTTATCAAAGATATGATTTAACAAGAGACTGATTTCTAAATTCATCTGTCGTCAGCATGAATGCAATTTGGATCGCAGATAATAAGAATAGGTCATATCAGTTATCTCTCATGGTATAGGCGTTCATATCAGCGTTTATCTATTCTGATTTTTGTTAATTGTCTGAACATCCATGAACACCCAAATCATATTAATGATTGACGTAAGGCTACAATAGACGTCCATCAAAAGACATTCAGCTAAAGCATTAGTCTAATGAATTAAAATTTTACCTTTCAATATTATTGTACATGTACATGCTTAATGCTGATATATGTGTATGTATATATTTGTACAGTATAGATTTATTTTTGTCATTGAATTATTATTAGTGAATGTGTTTACAGGATCATTTTCATTATGGAAAATTCATAGTTTTTTTTTTACATAAATAATTGATAATGAACTGTTAATTCATCATTCGCAAATCATGGCGTTCCAACGAATATCAATCTTTCTTGCAGCTTGTTCAAACTGGACTTATGGACAATACTGCGAACGATCATGCGAGTGTAACCAAACTAACTCCAAGACATGCGACCACGTGACCGGTGCCTGCTTGTGTAACCCAGGTTATCAGGGGTCTATTTGCAATGATGGTGAGATTTCTGTTTACTTAGCAAAAGATTCACTCCATCTTGGAAACATTAACACAAATATTGTGCCTTTATTTACAAATATACCCTAGACGTAATATTCCATTGCAAGATAGTTTTAAGAAGTCACTTATGCCCTTATCCTATTCATTGACAGGCACAGTTAAACGTTCAACCCTCCTGAGATATTACCGATCTAACAAGGTAATCTTAATTCTTGCTACACGTTGAAAAGTGGAGGTCAAAAAAGTTGAACAACCGAAACACAATGTATATCGTCTTTTCTAATGTCAAGTTTTCAAATGAGACCTGGTTTAATAACGACGAATTCCTTAGGCATACTATAGAGCTTGAAACACACCTAGATCCATTATAAGGGTTATATTAGTTTTCGGTTTCTCACAAAGAAAGCGGAATCAGTCACAAGTGGATTTTGCCTTGTATATCTCAGGCAGAACCTAATAACTCTGACGATATAATTATTACACTGTATTTTTTCTCTTTTTTCTGTTTTTATTATCATTATTTTAGCCACTGTCACAACACGATATTATCACATCTACCAAATTCATTATAATTAACAACATGCAATGCTGAGTTGTTTAGATACATGTTTGCTTGAAAATATATCTGAGACATTGATAACTGTTGAACGACGACATATATACGAAATACACAGAAAAAGCATTGATATATAATTTCCAGGAAAAGTAAATCATGGATTTCAGTGGAATATGATACTAATGGTCATTCAGCCATTGGGTTTTTAATCTGTACTCACAAAATCACTTATACGGGCTTTACTTTTCGGTTTCAGTTTGCCAGTCTTACTATTACGGTGATGGTTGTGATAATGTATGCCTATGTGACAGAAATCTGAGTTCTTCCTGTGATCACGTGACCGGACAGTGTGTTTGTACAGCTGGCTATGATCAACCAAACTGCAATACTAGTAAGTCTTGAATTTTTGTAACAATAAAACATGAAGAAAGTAAGAACAGTGCAATAATAAAAACCAAAATACACTGATAATTGAGTGACTTAAAAATTGATCTATTGAAGATTAGTATTTTTCGTGTTGATTAGATGAAGTACTGTGAGACAGTTTGCATAAATTTGATCGGGATCGTTAAGGTAATTCCTATAAATTTTGCAAATGTAAAGATTCACTATCATAAAAGTGTGAAAGTTTGTAAATGTACAATATATAAAAATTACAAATCAGCATAGTGTTACATGATTCAGTAAATATATTATATAATGTATACATGAATAAGTGAAAAACCAATACATGGAATAAATTATATAAAAGATATTTTATGGTTCTGATTTTTGTTTTTTAATATATCATTTATAGCGGAAAATTGTAAAAACGAAAAATAAAGGAAAAACAAATTAATAATAATTATTAATATAAACTACTGACAGAATACGCAATACACATTCGATATGCATTTAATAAGCTTATACGAGATTAATTTCTTATGACTTGTTTGAGACTTCACATTAAACCTAAGAACAGGTAAATACCAACAATAGTTGTTCATAATCAAAATTGAGTTAAATCTGAGCAAAAGAAAAAATTCAGCAGAGCCCCCTAGACAAGGCACAAGGATGATCAAAGAAGGTGTTCCCGTGAGGTAGACTCTTCTGCTTCATCAATGGCATCTCCAATATCAGTGCAAGTAAAGCATATTTTAGTATGGACCCTTAACAAGGCACAATGACAATTAGACAAGGCTCTCCAGAAGGGTAGGCTCTTTTGCTTCATCAACCGCATCCTAAATATCCCTGCAAGTAAAGCATACCCTCATAAATGTATTGATAACATAATAACCAATGATTATAATAACGATGACTTACACATCAAATATCACCTTACACATGGAAAAGGACTATTTCCCAATATGGTCAACCTCATGTCTATTTAAAAGATTAAGTAAAACACTGATTGGGATAAAACTGTAGTGAAAAACATTAGGAAAACTGACAGTTATTGATGTGCATAAAGCGTTGTTTTTTTCTCTGATTATTATTTACGTACTTGTCTAGCATGCCCGGCAGAATTTTACGGTGACCAGTGTTCAAGTCCTTGTAACTGTCCTGCCACCGCTTACCCAGCGTGTCACCACATCACGGGCGTCTGTACATGTTTACCTGGATATGTTGGAGACTTGTGTCAAACAGGTAATGTACGAGATAAAAGAAACAAATATCAATAAACATCTTAGGAGATGAAGAACTTAATTGTTTTTTGTCAATTTTAGGGTGTGCTGGTTTGAAGATTAATGCAGGCCATGCAACTTTCGCATGAAAATTGAACATTTGCGGATGAACAAGCCCAATTCGAATTAACCATACTTTTAGTAAACCACATTTTCATATAATATTGTACCTCTAAGATAAAAAAATGAAACCTTCTGTATACATCACGATTAATTCGATGTATTTAGTCAGCCTGCCTAACTACCAAAAGCATTCGAACTCATTTAAACCGAATTCTTGGCTTTCCCATGGTATCGCCAAGTTCGAGATAACGAGGACTGACTAAGCTTTAGTTGCGTCTCGTTTTTTAACTACTAATATCTATCATTTTCCTAAAGCAGCCTCTGCGTTACATTTCTTGACATGAAACTTGTATTATATGATTCGCTGACGAAATGATAACATTTCTTAAACTGCTTTAAATTTGCAAATAGTCCTACAAATATTTTCAGAATGTCCGGATGATACATTTGGGGTGAATTGCTTAGGCACGTGTGACTGTTTCGCCCCCTACACATCATCCTGTGACAAAGGGACCGGTGTCTGTGTGTGTATCAGTGGCTGGGAGGGCACCAGGTGTGACACCGGTGAGTGTTACGTAAAGTAGTTACATTTTTGTGTTAAAACTGAATTGTGTGAACTTGTGTCAAAAGGAGAGATGAAGATGTTACATAAAGTTGTGTATGTGTGCAATAGGTGCCGGTCGATTCATTTTAGAATTGCTATTAACTATTAGCTATGGTTGTAACTATGATAAGCCATGTTGACGGTATCTCAATATGAATACAAATACATATCAATATTGCAATTGATCATAATCCATTGATTTATTTTGTAATTTTGATTTGGATTTTATTTCAATGCTCGTGAAGATACCATTGAAATGAAAACAGCACAGTGCATTATACCCTGGGATAGATAATGATATAAAACATAAATTTACATTCATTAATGCCTATGTTTGTCTTGAGACTAATGTTAACATTTATTATATTTAACAAAAGAGATTTCCATTTAGTTTTTGTTGTTTTGAGAAAGATTATGCGACATTGTTTTCTTTTATTCTTCATCTAAAAAATATATACATTTTAAGCAGCAAATAAATTCAGATTATTAATTTCTTTTACATGCCAACTTAAAGCTAGTGTTTCGGAATTCTTACTAACATCGCCCACCATTGTGAGTGTGATTTCTGTAGCAGCTACGTTACTGTTGGTGTTTATAATTCTATTTGTTCTCTGGAAAATATGCAGGTAAGTTCAATTATCTTGTTATCTAGTGTGACTGTGTGTCATGCTTTATATAAAAATAGACAAACATATGTATTAATTATATTTGGTTAGGAAAACAAAACTTTGTGTTATTTCATAAACAAAATTGGCATTATGCATACTGGTGAATTCAAAATGACCACACACTTAGTTTACATTATCATGTTATCAATTATGAATTAAATGACAATTTTTAAACTTCAGTACATTTGAAATGTCTTTTTGGATGACAAATTTATATCTTGAACATTGATGTGAGTTGATTTCAGATATATGATAGAGACAGCATTGTAGAAGATAGTGTCATCATATATTATGATATCTATTTGATATGTCACAATAATTTAGAAATCTACATCACACTCCAACTTGTAAAGTCACAGTTAATAGGACTTACATGCCTGTTAATAGGTCCCCCATGGTAATACTATATTGGTTTCACTGTTATAATCATGTTTCCATTAGAACCATAAGTTGGCGGTACTTCACGAAGAGTGGGCTCTAATAAAATTTTAGTTCTGTATAAAGATTTATGATAGCGATGAAAATAGATTATTCAATATCATGGAATACATTCTTGATCGCAAACGTTTTTTTTTTTTTTTTTTTTGACAGATGTTCATGTACGGAGATAAAACACCGGGCACATAAGGACAAGGGAGCCGTAATTCTGATGAATTCTCCAATAAGCCCAGGATCAAACAATGGCAAGCATCTTCTCTGTCTTAGGAAAAAAATATATATCTTCATAAGTAGTCATACCAAGGCCGTGTACATATAATGGTCATCCAACTCATCCTTCATCATACCGATAAATGAATGACCTTGTGGGATCAAACATATTTGTGTATATCTATTTGGAAAGACAACATACACGTGGTCACCAAAATGCTTATACACATTTGTATATTACACTTCAATTTCAATGTCAATATTTACGTTAAAATGTGAAAATCATTCAATTGCATCAATTGCATATGACGTAACTGTATTGAGTAAATCATTTTGTCAATAACTAGACTTAACTTTTTATCTTAGCCGCGATATCTGCTATGGCCGCCGCAACCACCCAGCTGAAACATGACGGTATTTACTACTACAGTGCAGACCTGAACAAAGACTCTGGTGGAGCCAGTGACGTTTCAGCTACCCCGGAGAAGGACGTTGATAACTATTATTATGGCGGAGTTCAGACTGGTCCCTCCCCAGCTTCTTTCTTAAAATCTCCAGCGAAGTCATTGGAAAATGATGCATATTACGACGATGGTGCAGTAGGGGATGCTGTAACCGCTTCTTCTAAACCAACAGGAAATGATACATACTACGATGATGGCGATGTTGGAGACGCTGTAGCCAAAAACATGGATAAGTCCGAGAAGGGCCAAGCACCGTCGACGAATACAATGTATAAGAACGTTTCGTCGCTTCCTGCAAGAACCGCAAATGTTCCTTTTCAGAAGATCAAACATCCACCGTTACCTGTTCCCCCTGTTCCTCCAGTTCCGTTGCCTTCCCCTCAAATGGTCCTTCCACAATCCAAATCTCTTCAAAGCATCCCTAAGAACACTGATCAAATATATAAAAACGATGTGGCTGAAACATCTTTTGGCACGATGCCAACTTATGGCAACGCTGGACCACAAAAGTTACCTGGGCTGGCTCCTGATGATAATTATGAAAGCCTAGACAGTAATACTAGACACATTTCCGCCGTGTACGCCGAGTTGAAATAAATGGCAATCGTCATAGGGTTTCGTAATGCTAAATGTATTAGTTAGATATTCTACATGCATTTAAGTGATTATCTATTCGTGCTGTCAACGTTGCTCTAAATAATAAAATGTTGATTTGCGAAGCTACAAAATTGACTTTAAAAATACATCAAACAATTATCTTCAGTGTTCTCGGGGAAGATCTCAAAATGAACTGCGTTGTGTGCTGTGATTTGTTTAAAGATAAATGACGTAACTGAAGAGGGATAAGCTGACAGGTAAACAGCATGACAACACAGTGTACGATATGATGTTTTTGTTTTGATATAAACAGAAATACATCTCAAAATGAACAACTTGATATGTGAGGATGAAATTGAACTGGCCCCACTTGTATAAAACATCTCAACTTGAGATTTCCTCAAGTCGAGATTTTCCTCAGCTGATATCTCCTCAAAAATGGCTTGTATAAAATTTTCTCAAGGAACAGGCGGAAGGCATCGGCTAGGATGTCCTGAAATTCCTTGAGGAATTTTCATACAAGATATTTTCAAGGAGATATAAGCTGAGGAAAATCTGGGCTTGAGGAAATCTCAAGTTGAGATGTTTTATACAAGTGGGGCCTGATCTGGTTAATAGTTGCATATGCACGTGCACATATATCTGAGAAAGTTAGATTTTCACGTTTTTGTTTTGTTTTTTTTTTTTTTTTTTTAGTTTTTTGGTTTTTTTATATTTATTTTTATTTCAAATTTGATATAAAAAATGATAACAATTAACATGATTCCTCTTTATATTCAGGCTATACAATTACTTACATATTCAACATATCAGCCAGCAGTGTTTAATAGGACAAGATCAATATCTAAATTATAAGATTTCAATTCATAAACATATTTTCATTCCGAAACATGTCTCTTTTTGCCTGATTCTCTGTTCATATATTGAATAAAACTTGAATTTTGACTAAAGCTTCAATTCATTCAATGATACATGTACGTTACTTTGTTCACATCGCGAATATAGTGATACACTTATCAAAAGACAACATTAAATATTTCCTCTTTGTTAAAATACATATTGTATAGTCAGTTGATTATAATCTATAGATTCATTTTCTTTGCCTTATTATTCTACTTATTCAAAATGGGGACATTTGGCATATATATCATCGATGTTGGTTTCATCATATTTAACTAAGACGTGTTAACTGGCAATTATTATTGTTGTTATTGGGAATAATAATGATATACAGATATCAATCTACCCATATAATACTTTACAACAAAGACAAATGCTGTTTATCTCTCCGTCACGTGTACCTTGTTTTCTTGCAGGAAAGTGTACTGTAATATGTAATTTCGTATTTGTAGGAAAATTCATATTAAAGATAAATGCCTGTTAACTCTCTGTATCATGTAATTTTGTATATGTAGGAAAATTTACAATGAAGATAAATTCCTATTGTCTCTCTGTTACATGTAATTTTGTACAATAAAACAACTTATTCAACCGTGACTTCATTTGTGTCCAAACATGAAAATTTGTAGTTTCAATGCAATGACTACATCAAACTGTTTATACCAGTCAAAACTACCAAAATTATATCATCAATAGAAAAGTTGTAGCATCCCTAGATTTCTTGTACCTGCACATATGTAATTCAAATAAATAAAGGCCAAAAGGGCACTCAAGCCAATGTCTTTATTCAATGTTTAATGTGTGATAAGACTGCTTGATTGATAGAGACCAGACAACTAGTTAACCACACACACATATACTTCTGAATATTATATTATGTATAGTACTGGAGAAACTTACTGTTTAATGTGAATACTCCCAACACTGTTGTATTATGGCCTAGGTAAATTCATCTCCATATTATATATAACATTAACCAATACTAACTTACCTTATTATTTCATGTACATTATATCACAGTCTGGCATCATTTCTGTAGCTACACTACAATGATAGAAAACTTTCTTTCTGCAATGGATTTTTTTTAAATCACTGAATTGTAGAGAAGATGCATACAACATTTTTATATTGAGATTTAAATGGTACACAAATATTAGAACATACTGGTTAAACTTCAAATTTGATTTGATAAATTGAAAACTACTCCATTTTTAACCCCCTCCCCACAACCCAACCAAGTTCCCAAGTTGACTTACAAGTAAAGTTACCTTTCCAAAATGTTAATTATTGATGTGGTAATGAAGTAATAAATGTCTTTAATAAATCTGAAAAAAACCTTCAAGGGCATTTGGTTTTTAGAACCACTCCTTTGCAAAAAAAATAAATGCTGATTGTCACTCTGTTACATGTAACTTTGTACCTGTAGGGAAATTAACAATAATGATAGATCTTCATTCATATGCTTAAGTTTAGAAGTTTAGAAATATATCAGATATATGGCCCCATCATGGTAAAGTTGTCACGTACATCCTCCAGACACGAACTCTATACATGTTGGAGGGCTTAGCTTCAAGAGTGAAAAGTAATATTTAGTATTTTATTGCATAATGCAGTCTGCATTTAGTGATACAATACAACAGGTGGCTGAAACCATCAGGACAGATTTCAACCATGCTATATGATAAGTGTGATGATTTTGATTTCCCTGAAGTGAATAATTCATTTTTAGATATGGTATATGTACAAACAAATCTACATCCCAGCATATGATGTATATATTTCACAGTTCAACCTTGATATACAAATTTCAATCATTGACTGTAGTAACTGTTACAGAACTTTGTGTGCTTTTCTGTGTGTGTGTGTGTGTGTGTGTGTGTGTGATGTGAAAATGTCACACAACACAAAAAATGAAGCAGAATGGTATTGAAATATGGAACACTATTGAACGTTTTGTGCTATTTTTCCATGACCTCGGAAAATTAAGTATTGCAGCAAATTAAAAAAAAACAAAATATTCAATGTTTAATTAAAGAATTTATTGAAGCAGAGAAGTATACTTAAAAAGGAAATATTCACATATAAGCATATAACTTAATATTCTCCACAAAATAAACATACAATAGAAATGTATTCGTAACAAATCCTTCTCTCATGAAAGGGTATCACAGGTTAGCCAATTAACAAATACTCTACAGTGTACAGACATTGTGTTTGCTACAGATGTCGATTTTCACCACGATGATTGTAGTTTTTTTTTTTTAAATCTTTGCCATATGAAGAAATTGAGCTTTCTGTGACATCATATAAAAAGTGTAAATTATTTCATAAAATACCACTACTATAAGAGTAGAATGACAATAAAGTTTAATAAATCTTCAATGTGAATTATTAAATTGCTTTGTTTTTTTATTTCAAATATAAAATAAATTGATAAAGTGAGTGGTAAAAACTTCAAAAATAAAACAACATTTTAGTTTTGTTATTATGAAAAACAAAATGTTTAAGCCATTTTCTATATGATATGCATATCACATAGTGGTAAGTATTTTTTTTAACTCAATACACATTGTACTTCCTTTAAAGAAATGGTGAAATATCAAAATTTCTGTACAAATATTTTTGTATTTTGACAAGTCTGACCATTTTTGACGGGGATTAAAGTTTGAAAAAAAAAGTATTCCCTATCCGAAATAGTTTATTGGCATCATTTGTGACCAAAATCCAAATGTTTTGTTCTGTTTGTTTATTCTATTCCCACATTTAATTGATCTTCTGTCTTTTATTGTCCACAAACATCCAGGAATACTAATGTTATCACACCATTATAGGCTTGTTACTGCCTACATGCTGGTACTCTGTGTTGTACATCTTGGGAGCAGTCATTGCAGATTTAGATCCTGGAGCTGCAAATATAATAAAAATAAAATGAACATGTATAAATATTCAGATAGATTTATTTAAACAAAATAAATAAATAAAATAAAAAATGACTTACTTCCTTCTCTTTAAATGTTTTTTGTTTTTTTCTCATCAAATTCTTACTGTATTACATACAGTGAAGCACGGGTTACAATAGAAATAATCTTCAAACAGCAAAGCACCAGTTACAATAAAAAAAATTATCAGCATAAATTGATTTATATATTACAAAGGATGATTACAAATTGAATGTAAATAAAGTTTATGTGTCAAAAAAAGTACAAATGTATATATCAAACACTTTTTGAAAACAATTATATCAAAGTGATGAATTAAGAATTGAAACATCTTTTGCACTGGTAAAACAAATCTCTTTTTAAAAATTTATTCCACTGTGGTTTTATGGTGTGGATCAATGCTTGAATACATAGCATTGATATGTAATATCACCATGATTATAATAAATTCAACATAAAAAAATGCATTAAATCCAGATATCCTCCAAAAAAACTTATATATAAGTATATGTATATATATAAGTATATATATAATTTTTGATCAATTTCAATAAAAGCCTTTTACAAAATTTGCTAACTGAAGTATTTGAACAATAAACTAATATATATAAGTGTTTCTGATTGATTATGATTTGGCAATTTTTGATAACATAATCATACACCAAATATTTATCTTTAATATTTTTTGTCATACACTTACGAGGTAATGTCCATGGGGTGTCCACTGGGCAGAATTGGTTTTCCTTTGCTTTCACATCTGAGGGTTGCATGAAGGACTCGGCATAAAGAGATTTGAGACCAGCATGAGGGACTGGGATCATAGGCTTGGGAGCTCGAGGAACCTTGGTCCTGGTCTTAAACCAAATAGGGTCAACCATTGGTAATGGTTCTCGTGGGATGGTGTCTTTAGGAAGAGGACTGTGAAAAACAAGAAATTTATTATATAGTAATTGACAAAAAAAAAATCATTCTCGTTTGTGTTAATTGACAGATACTGTGAGTCAATGACAGGTGTTAGCATTATTCAGTGATACTGTAGTATATGAAGTTGTGTTTTGTACTGTGATGTAATTAAGTTTACAAGGATTAGAGCACCTGGGGTGGAACGACATACACCCCTCCCAAATGTCAAAGGGGAAAAACAAGTTTTAAGGAAATTAATTCAAAAACTGCTGAGTTAAAAAACAATGGCAAATAACTCATCCCAAAACTCAACAATCCAAATGGCATAAAGAAAGGACAATTTTATCTAATGGTTTAAAAACCTATCATTTCAGAGGACCTGGTGAAAAAAAACTGAAGTAGAAGATCTTTGTATACAATCAAAAGGCTAAAACATCAAAGGCCAATAACTCCTTCAATATTTGTTGAATCTAAATGCTGCTGTTTATGTACAGAAACACAATTTTATGTCATAGCTGTAGAACCTTCCAAGTCTGAAAAAAAAATCATTGAATACTGAGAGAGGAGAGCTCTGGACAAAATGAAATTTATGCAAAATCAAAGGGCAGCGACTCTGCCTAATGCAGGCAAACCAAATTGCTGTTCAAGAAAACAGTTTCATGTCACGGCAACTGTGCCTACCAAGTCTAAAAGAAATATATCAAGAAATCCTGAAAGAGAAGATCTTTGGAAAAGATTTACATTATAATAACAACTAGGATCAAAACTCTTCCAAATACATTCAAGTCAAACTGACATTCATGATGTGCATATAAAGTAAAGTTCAAATTTCAAAGTTGATGTGATCTGCAGACTGGTGAGAAATAACATGTAAAACAACAAAACTTTTTATTTGTGCCCATTCTGTATGATACTTTCAATATTTTCCATAATTATCATTCAAAGACTGAGACTTGGAGCAAATTTGCAGTCCTTTGTTCTTTTATCACATTTGACAACAGAATTGGGGGTAAGGCTTAAACTGTGCCATTTCAAGGGAGTATATTCCAGGAATGATACACATTCATATGTACAATACAATTTCTGCTATACTTATATTACTTACTTGTGTTTCTGGCCATGTCCCCAGGCTTTAGGATATTCCTCACACTCCCAGTATGTCGCAATGTCCTTTTTCGGATAACGTTTGAGCTCATTAGCTGTAAATGACCGATGATCTTGTTGTGTTGTTGATAAGTAAGGGTCAAGTTGTCGTAGGATTCCCTTGTCTCGGACATAAAACGGAGCCCCTTGTAGTTTGGGGTTCTGGGTAGTGGCTTGGCCGTACTGAGAAAAAACAAATCAATCAATTAAAGATAATAATCATTGATGAGTTGGGCAGGTATTGTATGTGATCATAAGTTTTGGGGTACTTACTTTCATATTACATTATTTAACTTATAAAGCAGTTTTTCAAACTGTGTACAACCCAACAAATCATAGCATTGTAATTCATTTCCAAAATTCCATTAACTTGATTATATATTACATTTCCTGGTAAGTCCATAGTCCTTCATGAAATTTCAGAAATGTAAAGCACTGTATGGTTATCACTAATTGCAGTTGTTAATTGGTTTATTCATTTATTTTTAGAAGGCTTTAACTGTGAATAAAACTGGAATTTTATTTTGAAGGTTCTTTTCTCATTAGAAATATTTAACATTACAGAAAATGAATTACATCTAAATTAAAGACAAAAATGTGGTTTGTGGTTCAACAAACCAGTTATTAAAAATGTTTTGCAGTCAGTCTGGACAAATGTTTCCTTTGATCCAGGTCAATAGTTGAAATGGAGGTTTGAGTGACCTATTTTTGACACATGACTCAACACCTTACCCAGTTTAACCTATACTCTAAGTTTTAAGTTCCAGTGAGCAGTAGGTTAGGAAATAGAGACCAGAAAAAAATATGGTTTGGGTGTCTGTAAAAAGTCAATATGAAGGTCACAGTGACCTACATTTGATACATGAAACATAGTCTGATTTGCAAATAAGTGAATCCATACCTCAAGTACAGAGTTCCAGTGTCTAGTAGTAGTTAGAAAAGGAGAAAAAAGATTTTCTTTGATATAGGTCAAAGGTCAAAATGTAGGTCAGAGTGACCTATTTTGTAACACTACACTCTATCTATCCAAGGTAAACCAAAACCATAAATATGAATTTTTCATTGACATTTAATTTAGGAGACAGATCAAGTTAGCAGACAGACTTTTTCTCTGTTGAAGGTCAAAAGTCAAAATGTATATCAGGATGACCTACTTTAGATAAGTGAAACAATCCATCTGACCAAGGTAAAACTTTACCCCATGGATGAAGTTTCTGTGACCAGTAGTGTAGGAGATAATCCGTCTGTACAAACTTTTTCTTTGAAGTAGTTAAAATGATCAAAATTCAGGTCTGAATGACTTTGATGCATGGCACACTGTCTGTCAAAGGTGAATCCAAACCCAAAGTTCCAGTGATAAGAAAAGTTCCAGTGAAAAGAAGTGTAAGAGATGGAGTTTTGATCTGGACAAGGTAGCGAAGGGAATAGAAAGAAGGATGATTGGACACAATGAGGAACAATAACTTCTCAACCGAATCGGGGGTACACAAAGCAGTAAATACTGGTGTTTTAGATTTGAAGTAATACTATAAACAATCTCTTATTTTTTTTTGTGTTTACTGGTAATTGACTGACAAGTAAATCTGAATGAAGACTTTAAGTCCATTTTTGCATCAAAGATCAAATAAGTTAAATTTAACCAAGTATGGATAGAAAGTAAAGATATGTTCATCATTGATATAAATATTTCTAAAGCAGATAGTGTGTATTGACTTTCTTATGGTTACCTTTGAGGGGCCTTCACGGTGATGATCATTAAGGCTGTATGACTGAGGCAAATTCAATCCTGCTGTGTCATCAAAATGGTACTTCTCCCGGATGCCAGGGGGTGCTGAATAACACTCTTTTGTCTCAGATTTTTGATTACCCATTGTTAGCGGCTTTCGCCATCCTCCTTTGCCAAGCTATTATATAAAAAAAAAAGAATGCATCAACTTCACAACATAGAATAACTTATATTCTGTATGGCCACTTTACAAATTATACCGTTGGATTCCAAGAAGGTATGCTACATGGTGGCATTCATACATTTGGTTTAAATAAATTAACTCTATGCCACAGCCTGGTACCAACGTCACAACTTTCAGATGGTAACAAAACTAAGTGCCATTGATAAGATAATTCAGCAGAGTACTCACCTGTTATAAGCTTGCTTATAGGTGGCTAAATGGTTAGTTTTAACTATGTAACTACTCTTAATTAAAAAAAAAAAAGTAGTTTGATAGATATAATTTTAATTACAATCCAGGCTAAATTCAAGAAATTCTCTTATTTTTGATCACTAATATAATCCGGACATGAGGCAGGGAAGTTAAAATGGTATCCTTCCACAGGACCTAGAAAAACTCGCTATGTATGCGTTTTTTTCAATGGAATGACAACAAAACATATACCCAGTACATTAAATTCAGCCATCGCATAGGGAACTAATATAATTATCTAATTTACAACAATTTCATGTTATGAATTATTCTACTAATCTATAAGGAATTATAAATTGCATGAAAATTGATTTTCATAATTTCCAACATGAATTTACATCCTATGGTCATTATAAGGCTAAACTAAATTACATATAGAAGATTGCACAAAGACCAAGGGGAATTTATCTTTCAAATGAATACATATCCAGAATTAGATACAAAAGAATTGAATGAGAGATTTAATACAAAACTTCATCACACACTTTTGTCCTTGTAGCAGGTGACTGCCTACAGCACATTCCTTTAATGACCTGCATGGACACTCTCCTGAGAGCTGTGATAGCTCATTTCATTATAACCTCAGCTTATATAACCTCAGGAGTTAATATGAGGTGTGTGGTTTGAGGCTACCTACCTATGTCAGTTTGTGTTTATTAGGAAGCTGAGACACAGACTAGTCTATGCTGACATGGTTGCTCTAAGCTGTAAGATGGGCCTTTCCTATGTTGTTCAGTAAGGTAACACAGGCTGATTATTGAGTGATAAATCCTCCAAATAAAATCTCTCGTGTGGCACAAAACTGGGTAATCCCAATGAATTAACCTTTCTCAAAACCATCTATCAAAATTGACAAGAACTAGTTCAGAATATCCTAAGAAGCATTGAAATGATATTACATAGTGTATGGGTTGAGGGATATTTAAAAAGCATTGCATTTATCAATCACCTTTTCTGCTAAGTCCTTTACATAGTCAACCTTCCAATGACCAGGTGGTTTCTTGTATAAAGGATTCTGATAAGGACTTCCTTTGGCATATTTACTATCATGTGTTTTTCCTGTAGTGGTTTCGTAATGATGGTCTCGGGTCATTTCATCTTGCTTAGCTAGACCAGGAGGCAGTGGTTGGTACAATTCAGTCTGAAAGTCATGGAAGTGGAAATACTCAATATCTATCATAACTTAAATTTTAAAATTAAGTACATGTATAAACAATTGTACATATACATTGTTAGCATTAAACAGTTTTGAATTACTATTCCTTTGTATTCAGCTTGATAGCAGAAACATTGATTAACAAGTACAAGTATGCCAACTGAACGCATGTACAGTGTAATAATGGATAGCAAACGGTATACAAAGAAATTGTCTGTTCATATAACAATCATCAACATTGAGGAGAGTGCCATCGACTTGCATCCAACATAATTTTATACTTTATTTATTCTGAGAAGCCGTTATGTATGTTTTTTTATAATATGTTAACGCCATCTATAATTGCTTATGCTAAATTTTCAGAATTGTGCAATGAAATTTGAATTGCACTGAAATTTGTAAAATGATCCAATATGTAAATGAACTTTAACCCGGAAAGTTGGTAAGGAAATATAACCAGAGAAACAAAAGAAAATAAATTCACGCCATATAGGCCATTAATGTCTGACATTAATCGATCGAGAGGTCAATTCAAACTGATCACATCTTATTATCAGGAAATGCACTGTACATTGGCCATTCAGTAAGTGTAAGCACATTTTCGATGCATTAAAAAGTCATCATTACCTGGAATTGCGAGCTTGGAAAGTAATAACCTGGTCTGTAATGGTGTCCAACACCAGTTGATGTCATCTGCCAATCCTGGCGATGTTCACTGTTCACTTCTTTAAAACTCATGATTTTCACGTATAAAAGTTATTATATAGACAATTTATGATTTAGATTTTGTAAACAAACTATAAAAGGGTTAATCCCCGACAAAACCGCCGTAAGAAAGACATAAAAACACTAAATCCCTCGTTTTACATGCTCACTAGTCCGACATAGCATCCCACTGTGTACATGTAACCATGTAAACCGCACTGCATTATGGGAAAACTATTAAGGGGAAGCAACCCGCTATGAAAATTAGAAGCGATGAAGGTATCGCGTCATGAATATCTTTGCTACAATGCATTTCTTTACGTCGTTTGTATTTAAAGTATATTTAAATGTTGTCGCGTGCCCAAATGATAAACAATCGAAAAAAAGAAGATACAAATTAACGATTATGGTTATACAGTACAACATACACCACTTATGATATATCTATAAGAAACATTTCTCGCTAGCTACGCTAGGTAGAACAATTCACTATAGGGGAGACCGGGGCACAGTGAATCGGAAAAGTTGTTTTTGAATATTACTCCTTATCAAAAGGCAGAATTGATTGTCTTTTAAGTGCAAACGATAATGACCCATGGTCAGTGTTTAAACATGGCAAATATTACATGCCAACAACAGGCCTATAGATATATTTTTATTCTTTTCTAAATGATTCGTGTTGTATGAAAGTAACTCACTGAAAGATGAATCATGTAAAATGTTGTGTCATTATCATGTTCAGCAAATAAGAGTTTTAAGACATTTTTCAGAAGAATCACCACTAACATTTATTTCACACAGTTTGCAGCTATGCCTGTTTTAATGCGTATTCACTATAACCGTAGAACTGTTTTGAAGAGCAAGAACATTTCAAGGTAGCTATATTTCATGTTTACTTAATATGTCAGTAACATACTTCCAGTTTGTCAATTTCATTGAAGAAAAGACTCCTCAGTGCATACAATTTGGAGAAACGAGCACCTATTCAGTGGGGTGTAGCCCATGAAAAAAATGGGATTGAAGAATATTGTAAGAAAGGAGGAGTAACTGTGGTGCAGACAAGCAAGTTTAAAACCAATGTGTATGAAGTTTGTTATTTGTAATCTAATTCTTTGGCTGACATTATTAAATGTATCAAATCTGTCATATTTGATTAAAAGTTGTCAACCTTGGCCCCTGTTTTGGAGTATTGATCAGTACACATGAAAAAGTCTTACTTACACTTTAAACTTAACTGGCAGAACATAGAAGGTTTCTTTTTGAAATATGTTTTTTACTAATTACAATATTTGCTAGGCATAAAATTGTACCCGAATTACTGATTTGATCATGCTTTTCTAATATATAGGTATATGGCTGCACGAGTCTGGGGTACTTGGTGCATCACCTGATGGATTTGTACAAGGAGAGTTTAAGAATGATGGAAGTATCCATTATCAGTGTAGAAACCACTTAACTTCATCAGCAGACATAGTTGAGGTGAAATGTCCATACACAGCCAGAGACATGACAATATAAGAGGCGTGTGAATATATCAAAGATTTTTTCCTGGGTAAGAAGTAACTAAGAACTTCTTTAACAGTTCTGTGACTTTGTTAACAGTCAGACTAAATTGTTCATTTCAAGGAGATATTCAGACTGAAACCACTTAAAAGATGTGTATCAGATTGACATGTTAAATTTAACGTTTTCATCGGTCAATACGATCTCGAGACGCAAAATTCTTGCACGTGCCCGACGCACAGCTCAGGTGCACACTATATTACTGAAACAATAAAGCGCCCCAGGAAAGCCTGGTTCTTAAATTTACCTAAAAAAAACACATTGGATGAAAATATGAAAATTTCAAGAGTTTGATTGATATATTTTTGTTTTGTATCTATTGGGATTAAGGTTGGGCTGTGGGTGGGGGAGGGGGTCGACTGTCTGCATCGGCATTGTTTAATCAGTTGATAATCTATAAATATCATTGATTGTTCACATTAGGTTAATGGGCGGGATCATTTCTGCTTTCTATTATAACAAGACTTATAGTCCTAAGGGGTAAGGATAGCCCCCAACTCACAGGGTTTATAACTCAATTCCATAAAAGAGTAAATAGAAAGTTGAAAAACAGATTTCATATTTTTTTGAGAAAAGCATTTTTTCTTACTTTTTCTAACTATTTTAATAAAGTTGATTTTTCATCTCGAAGCCTACATCTCAGTTGTCAAATAATATCAGAAATGAGTCATCAAAAGTGAAAATCTAAAAATCATCACTTTTTCAATATAAGACGTGCAAGTTTAGAGGTTCGTAGCCAAGAAATTGCGAGAAGGCGTGGTCTATTATTTATAGTCGATTTTTCTTCACATGACAGACGACAACGAAACACTGACATCTGGGGATGAATTGGTAAGTTATTTCAACATATCTAGGAGGATGTTTGACATGTAAAAATGTGTAATAAGAGAAAATACTTAGATATGCCAATGAAATATAGACTCATAATGTTTCATGGTTTACATTCGATTTTTTCTATTCTTTCTGGAAGCGTGACATGTTACAGCTACCAAAATTATCCGAGTGCAATGTCACGAAGGTCAATAGTTCACGTGATACGGATCGACGAAATTGCCTAAAATACATAACGGTCTGAAACCGATGTCCTGATGATGTCAAATACATTACAAAACAGGTCACGATGCATTCATGGTATATCCAAATAGGACAAGGGCAATTTCCTGTCGTATGTGGCAATTGTTTTATTTTCATTCTTTCTTTTTTGTTGGAAGGGGTGTATGTTTTGTTTTATTTTATTTCACGGTTTATTTTCGATTTTTTTGGTCATTGATCACTCATGAAATTGCCTTAAACTTTCATATTAATTTGCTGGGTTCCTGTGCACATTGAAATACGAAACAATGGAAGAGAAGATCGTGTCACAAAGGCAACTTTGTCGTTACCACCTGTTGTTTTTAAACTTCATTTTAAGGATTCTAAACCATTTATCAATCAATTTCTAAGCTCTCAGTGGTAAGAGAAAAGGAATCAATATACTGATAAAAAAATCAAGTTCCGTAAATCCTATCGTCGGTGAATGGTCTCCATTGCTAAAGACACAACCACCGAGACGATGTTGTCCTTGCCAGTCTTCAGATGGGCCATACATACTTTACACATTCATATATATTTTAAGGCGAATATAATCCTCGCTGTATAGGATGTAATGAGTCTGGAAAAAGCGTAGTTAAGGGACTTATTTCCGATCCACATTGTGGGGACATTTATGACTGTGAGGACATTGACACGAGACAATTGTCCCCACGATTACGGTCACTTCAATTGCATCGAAATTGCACGAAATGGCCAGAAAATAACCTTATCAAAATTGTCCCCATAATGTTTTTTTTTTTTTTTTTCTATTTCAATAGATGCAAATATGACTTCTATTTATCCAAGGAAAGATCTCTGTATTAGATGGACAGAAATAAGACGTTTACCAAAACCTGACTCAGTTGGGTCATACCACAATCGACATAATTGGGTTACTATGTTAAAGGATTAGTAAAAGCAAGCACAGGAATCAGACACCTTTTTATGAATATGTGATTCCTGTTTAGACAGTGTATATGTTTGCTACTAACAAATTCTGAACTCACTGTTTACAGACAACTTATATTCCATAATCAGTTCATAAACAAATCAATTCTCCATTATATATCAAGATATATTTATTTCATTATCATATAATAGATTGACATGTCAGAACAAAATTAACATACACTGAAAACAAATTGAAATATTGCACCACAGTCTGTAAGCAACTTAACCATAAAATATATTATCCCTAAATGAGTGACAACTTTGGATTATTCTGCATCCATGCCTATTCAGAATTCATCCAACATTTCAAAGTATATTTTAACCAACCCATCCCATCTGCATAGTATAAATAACAAGAGGCCCACAGGCTTTAATGATCATCTGACTGTAAAGACCTATATATAAAAGAGACCAAATTTGCCAAAAATAAATTGCTCAACTACTATAACAGAAGACATTGTTGATTCATAAAAAAAAAAAATCATTTTTCTGCAAACTTGAATTCAAAACCTTTATACAGACTATCTATCGATATTAGCTATCTGCAGGTAGACATTTGACTAGAATGAGCTATCCTTTGATGTCAACTAATGTATTACTAGAATGATGGATTGGTATTACATAATCCATTCAGATGTTAAAACATGGTAGAATACATAACACTATGAATGCCATTGATGAGTAACTCAGGTATGAATAATTAGGAAGTGTGAATAAATAGTGACCAATAATGATTTTCTTTTAACGGTACTTATTTCACTGTTTTATCAAAATGAATGGAAAATTGCAAAAGTCTAGAATCCTTATGAATTACAACATGTAATATTTGTTCTATACATCTGTATAAGCAGATTTTCACACCTCTGATTTTCTTGTCATTTGCGTAATATGATGTACAACGGGCATTCCAGGCAGATATTTGTCACCTGTGGAATCAACAATGTATGAAAATAATAACTGCCGAGATATGTTCACATTAGTTATGTTGAGGAATGAAAGATGAGAAAGTTTGATTATCTTAGAGATGAACAATGTGAATACCAAAGCAATAGGATAAAGTAATCTGTTATAGTATCAGACACACACAGTATATTCAACGATGATTATTTCAAATGTATTCGAACCATGAAGGACCCATAATTCAATACCAGTAGATAATCAATCTAGTCATTTCACTCCCAGTAGATGATCCAGCCACATTCATTTCCTAGAAGATATTTAATTCAGACATTTCCATCCTAAGAAGAAAATCTAACTTCCTTGGAGTTATGCATCACTGCAAGCTAGCTTTATTATAAATACATTAAAATTTATATAAAATTAATGTTATTTCAAAACAATCTTATAAAAATTAAATTACAAGAAAATGAAAAAAAAATATAAATAACGCATTATTTATAAGACCAGGTTTTTAAGTTGGCTGGATTGTTTAGCAAGTTTTGTACTGTTCTCGTGGTTATAAGAGATGATTTCTTTCAACCATTGGTTAGCTACAGAAATGGAAAAATCTGTCTCCTCGAACACAGTGTGGGTAGTGGGACAATCTGTCCCCTAAACCTTTGGCTGGACACAGTGAGACAAGATGTCCCCTTAAACACTGGCTGGATAGTGAGACAAACTATCTCCAAAACACAGTCTGTATTTCTCCTTAACCCACAGCTGGAGTACATTCTTTTGTAAGAAACACTGACTTGATTGGTTCAGCAGTATCACCGAGGGCTCATCACTTTGGCATGCCTGTGGGAAAATTTAAAAATAAGCACTTAGATATCATACTCCAATGGTTAACTATTTCAAGAATTAAAGGCTTACTTTAATGCGCCTTCTATAGCATACATAAATTTTTAGGGCGTTTTATTTCGCTTCTTTCGTGGGTTCTCTTAATCAATTTATTTATATGTCCACCAAGTGTTCAAATTTGTATCAGCAGGCTTTTTCAGCTACAAGGTATATCTATCCACGAAAACAAGTATCCAAGAAATAATTTTTTTTTGAAAATCACAAAAATTGTAACCCCTGAATATATCCAGTTTCAAAGTAGGGTGTGAAATTCATTACTAGAGTGGGAAAATAACTGTTAAATCATGTTTCTGCAGTAAAGATTGTAATAATGACACATTCTTTTGATATGTTACGGTGTTAACATTGCAAAGTTATTATAAAAACTGGACTATACAGCTGTATAGAACCAAACAATAATTCTAGGGGTCAGAAGTGCAGAAACATGGAAGTTAATGAGATCTTCGTTGACATAAACTTATCCAAAACATTAAAAAAACGTATTTGATTACAGTATAATCATCGATTATTCAACATTTTTAGATGGCGATTATTAAAACAAAACCACTATAACAAGTGGCATGCCAAACTGCCACTTTATAGATTACAAATTCTAAGCATAAATAATCCAAGTAAGTTTCAATCACAACACATACCAAGTGTCAGTCACTGGTGTCACTCACTGGTGTCACTCACTGGTGTCACTTGGTGTGTGTTGTGATTGAAAATTATATGGATAATTTTGATATTTTATTCCATCAACCTGCATACTGTTTGGTATCCACATCCAAGGCACAGCGCCCAACTTATCAATCAATTCACTCTGAACTGATGTTGGTTAAATCTTTTTTTTTGTTATTTTTGTATTACATACCCATGGCCACCATCAGCATGATGTATTACAAAATCAAAGCATATCATCTGTGACAGCTTACCATACGATTTAATGCAAAAGGCTTATAGGGACTATATTGCTTACCTGGCTTTGTTTGGCTGAAAATACTTCATCCAAACTAATATGAAAGGTTTTCTAAATTTCCAAACACAAAACATACACTATATCTATTTCTACAATGGGCCCACCTCACTTTCCTTGAAGGGTAAGCAAAACAAGGATGCTTGTGACAAACTTTGTTCAAAATCTGCTCAGTTGTTTATGGCTAGTAGTAATTTGTACAAAAAAATTGATACACAGATGGACAGACAACATGGCATGATATAAGTTAATCAGCTCTTGGGACCAGGTGAGCTAGAAATCTGAGTTTATCACCTGTTGCTGCCAACCATACAATTTTACATAAATCTGAAATTTGCACATGTGGCAATCGTGTACACATGAATTTACAAAATCTGTGTCAACCTACTTTGGAGCACACATAAGTGTAAGATTCTGTACTGCGGTCAGTGTAGACTGGACATTCTGACCAGTTATCAGGTGGCGGTCAATGATGATATGAACAGCATCAGGTTCACTAGCTGAATGAGATATAAATAAATACGTCACTGTACATCAAGTTTTAACTAGTGAAAAAAGATGTTAGTGCATTTTTGTTAGTGAAATACTGGAAAAATTTTCATTACACTACACCTTATACCCTTACTGCCAATATGATGAAGTACTTTTATAATAAACTTGTGATAACACAAAAATATGATTTTACAAGAAGTTAAAGTCAATTTGGATACAACAGGTAAAGCATTAGTAAAACTATTCTCTATCAAATGGTTGGAGTGGAATATAAGATCAGTGAATAATTATGATATGATGTTTTTTAAGAAGTCTACACAGTGTAGCATTAAGATAAAAAGGGAGGTAAATCATTTGAATCTCAAGGTATAATTCCTCAAATGATTCCTCTGCGAATTGGCTTTCATAACTTAGTCCCATAATACCTGTCGATAATGATGCATACATACCATTGTAATTTCCACCATTGTCTTTGATGGAATCTTCTATGATGATCGACAAAGACGAGAATTCAGGAGATCGGGCAAGCTCAAACACTGATGGCTACAAATTATTGAGAAAAACCTCTGAATTTGTAAAATTAATTCACTCAATGAAAAATATTCTTAAGTGAAAGTGGCAATAAAGGAACATACATGTAATAAATATATTGGAGTATTAACCTAATTATGTGGCAATAATCCAACACCTGGTAGTCTTGATAAACCAAACAATTTCATTATTCTGTGAAAAGCCAACGCATAAAATAGGAGATCACATATTGGACCAGAGGGCTTATTACAGGAGAAAAACAGTTATAAAAGCCTTTCAATTCTGTACCTGTATTTGGATACTAAATTGTATATCAAACTGATTGATCATAGTGCTAGTGCAGAAAACTTTAAAATCCTTCATATATGAAAGTGAAATAAAATTTAAGTAAAATAATTTATTCATAGTCTAAATAACCTTTACTATACTATAGTTTTGTAAATATTTTCCAACATAACAACACTTGAAAACAACAATATCAACAGAACCATAATCCAAATTCAAATTGAATATCACAAGGGCAAAATATGAACAAAAAAAAAGATTTACACAGAAACTCCTGAAAAAGTATAAGGAAAATATGACCATATGTTCTTAAAGAGGAAGCATCTTCTGCTTCACCAATGACAATCACTTTGTAAATATACGTAAAACCAAGTTAGTAAGGTTGCCTTCCCAAATAAGGTAAACAGGAACAGAACCAACCAGTTGAGCACCAAACACATCCCACATCAAGACATATGACAACCTTAAAACTTCCTCATTATTTTCATCAACTTGCATCTCTTGAAATCTAGAGTTTTTCTGTCAGTTTCCGACATCTTTCACAAAGGCTGTCACATGAGTGACCATATACACTAACTTCTTGACTTCTATCTTGACTTTACTTAGAGACGTATAAGGGACCAAGGGAAAGTTGTTGGGAGCAGGGGTGGGGTTCAGTGGTAGGAATAATTTGTTGGGAGGGATATCAATGAATTGGGTTGAGAGACTGAAAAAAGAAAAATAGGAATGAGTGTAAAGAAGAACATTTCGTGGCTTTGGAGAGGGTTTGTGTTTGTGAGAGTTAAGTGTAGTGTAAGGTATTGAATCTCTGAGGTTGTTATGGAAGGGTATAACAAGCTGATAGAAAAGAAACTAGTTCACTTACTCCAGTTAGACTATAACTGTCAAAACACCACATACGTCCACCATCTTTCTTTGCAGCAAAGAGCCCTGCTACTCCATGTCCAACAGCACATATGCCTTCTGTTAATCAGATGAAGAATTTCATACACTACACTGTAATACAATATATTGTGCAATCATTTGCATCACTTACGTCAACTATATATCTATTTGCTAATTAATGTTACAATTAGAATAATCACTCATCAGACAAGAGTTCCTCGGAACTGTATGTGTCGCCTGCATAAAGTGTCACGGTCACGCAGAAATTGAACTGGATGTGCAACGATCAACCATAAAGTTGTAATACCAAATTTCATTTCTATAACTTGAAACATAAAGGGAAAACTGCGCAAAGCAATATTCCTGAGAAATTTTCCAAATTCAAAGGGACATATCACTGCCAAGAAGGGTTACAGACTGCCAAGAATCAAAATTATCTGTACCCTTCCAACAAGAAGTCATATAGCAAATGTCATTTCTATAACTCAAAGCATAACCAAAGAAAGTCAAGAAAACGATATTCCCAGAGAATTTTCTAAGTTCAAAGGGGCATAACTAAGTCAAGAAGGGTCACAGACAGCCAGGAATCAAACTTAATCTGTACCCTTGCAACAAGAAGTCATATAGCAAATGTCATTTCCAAAGAAAGTCAAGAAAACGATATTCCCAGAGAATTTTCTAAGTTCAAAGGGGCATAACTCTGCCAAAAAGGGTCACAGACAGCCAGGAATCAAGCTTAATCTGTACCCTTGCAACAAGAACCAATATAACAAATTTCATTTCGATAACTCAAAGCATAAACCAAAAAAGTCCGGAGAACAATATTCCCAGGAAATTTTCTAAGTTGGAAGGGGCATAACTCTGCCAAAAAAGGTCACAGACAGTCGCGAATCAGACTTAATCTGTGCCCTTGCAACAAAAAGCCATATATCAAATTTCATTTCGATAACTCAAAGCATCAGCCAAAAAAGTCCGGAAAACAATATTCCCAGGAAATTTTCTAAGTTGGAAGGGGCATAACTCTGCCAAAAAAGGTCACAGATAGTCGGGAATCAAACTTAATCTGTACCCTGGCAACAAAAAGCCATACGCCAAATATCATTTTGATAACTCAAAGCATTACCGAAAAAAGTCCAGAAAACTTTCATATGGACGACGACGCTGTCGCCAACAACGCGTGATGACGGACAAAGTGATCACTAAGTGTCCGCCAGCTCTGCAGGCAACACAAAAATAGAGCATTATATATATTTTGATTTTATATCAAATCAGTCATTTTTCATAATGTCATAACTTAATACCTGCCGGTAATTACGAAGAAATTAAAAGAATTTTACTTTTCTCGCTGATGAAGTGTGAGAGGATCTGTCCAAGGTGTTGATCTGATGCCAGATCCTGTAAAGCTCCTGGGGCTGAGGGCAAAAGCAGGGCACTGTAACGGGCAGCTTAAACACGAGATATTGAAAACATATAGAACAAACATTTATATCTATATACAGAATAAACATCAAATTTGACAACATACAGAATACAGTCATTAACATTGATGTCATACAGAATAAACATCAATTTTGACAACATACAGAATACAGTTATTATCATTGATATCATACAGAATAAACATTAATATTCATAACAAAGCAGGTTTCTATCAGCAATCATCAGCCACAACTTCCAGTTAGGATTTATAGATAAATGTTTAAATATGAATTACAGTACCAAATTCAAAATCTAACACACAGTCTGCCTTTCAAAGATGTAAACTGTATACACATACAAAGAACAATAACAGTAATTTTAGTCAAGTCTATAAGATACATTTTGCATACATGATATCAATTGTGTTTAGGCAAAATAACACACCATGTACTAAGGGATGTAACTCTGTGAATACAATGGGGCATCAAAAAGACTTTGTCATGCTACACCTCGCCATTTAATTATGTCATCGCCAGCACACTGACATTCATCTGCTGGAAAATGCCTAGAGATAGGACGAGTCATGGAGACGGAAAACCTGTAACCAATCAACCACTTCAACTATGTACTAGATATCTGTACAAGAGATAGTAACTACATGCCTGATACATTACACAAGAAAAGAATAACTATTCCACATATTCCATGGTGAATTAAGAGCTGTAACTACGTGTAAAAGTTGTCTTGAAGTTTACTGATTGTATGAGCTAGCTAGGCCAATGTTCAATGTCAGAAAAAAACAACTAAGTCAACAACTGTCATATAATGTAAAAATTATTACCATCAACTGTATCCAAGGCAATAGGCGATGAGGTGGCCTTGCTGCGGAATTCATTGAACCAACGACGGTTACTCTCATCCTGCTGTGTGTATTCCACATTACGACCCTGGAGACAATAGAGAAGTGAAACATATTCAGAATATCAATTGCTATATATATCCTTTTCCATACTTCAACAGACAGTATAGACATTTTTACACACATCTGTCTAGTGTTGAGCCTCTGCCAATAATAATATTAGATCGTTCTTTACTTTACTAAAGAATCTTTTTGATCTGTGTTTACTTTATATTGGTTTCATATTCAAGAAGGCCTTTTCTCCATTTTGGGATCAGGAAAACTTCTTTCATCACTTACTAAAGAGAGGAGTGGAAAATCAGTTGATATTCAATGACCAATTAGCCAAGAGATCAAATGCGCAGATGGAAAATGATTGGACACATATTGAGACAGGACAGAAACAACGACTGCAACGTTGCCTTAACCTGGGCCCCAGCGGGAAGCGGAAAAGAGGAGTACCGAAGATGACGTGGAGAAGAACAGTGGAAAGAGAGAGAGAAGAAGCAGGCTGGAAATCCTGGAACGAGGTGCAGACAGTGGCAACAGACCGGCAGAGATGGAAGCGTTCTGTGAAGGCCTTAAATGTAACGAGGCACGAAGTGGATAGGTAATAGGTAATTCAATGAAATAAACTGGATGATTTTTATTTATTATTTACCGTATTTATATTATGTCAGCAACATAATATACACACACTATCATAATTGATGGTTATGATGTCATAATAGACAATCTGATTACATCCCATTTTCAACCAAATTTTTAGTATTTTATGGCTAGAAATGGCTTGTAGCTGAAAATCCTATTCCCTATGGACATTGATGTAGTAATTTAATGAGAGAAGAAAATGTATAAACCCACCCCTGGTGATGCTAGCTGTATGTTGAAGTTGGAGCTGGCAAGGTTGTATGCCTGGATAAACGACTGTGCAGAGACACCTGTTGGGATAAACAAAGTCAGTCAACAAAACATATGGAACACAAACACCTGACAACAAAGAGTTTTAGCTGGATCAAGATTTTATAAAATTCCCTATCAAAACTACAGATCAACAGTCTATAAGTCATCAGATCAATGAGAATCAGATTTGATATTCACACTCGCAAGTAACTATCTTTTATAAACCGCAAGTGATTGGTTGATCTATCTATCAAAGTATTGATACCACAGCAGTTAAGCTTCCTGGTTATAGTAATGTCAATACTATTACAGTCTTCAGGTCTTCTGTAATATATAAACACATGTTAATAACAAAATATCTTTTAATAAGCAATCGTCCGACGAGGTCGATTTGCGTTATTTAATGTAAGATATTATCATTGACAATACTATAAAGTCTGTAAATGATGTTTTACTGAAATATGACAACAGAGTTCATAATAAAATTCTACTTCAGTTAACGCTGTCTGTACAACCGAAACAAACCGACCGACACGCCCCTTCCAATTATATTGTCATGTGCGCTCTCGCTCGTTTATGTCGACAGCGCTGCCATTTGGTGAAGAGCTACACACTTATTTTAATTTTACAGCGTAAATGAAAAGCATAAATCATATAAAGCAACCTTCATTTCCTGCACTGAGCACTAGGAGACAGTTTGGTCTTGGCGCAGCCATTTCTTTTGCTTCAGTAAGGGTTAGAGTTACCCCCCTTGTATTCATTGCCTATCTTTTGCAAATTAACACTATCAATTCATAATAAGAAAAGTATCAAAATAGACTATTCGCTTTGGTAAACAGATTTGAGAAACAGAGAAGAAATTTATCATTTTAACTTGAATATAAACGTAAATAAATGTTTCGAAGGTAACCATTATAATGTCCATTTACTGCATGGGAAAAATCGATCCATCATACTTAATGGTAAGCTAACGGTAATAAGACGACGGATTTGATTAGACATATATTTTCCATTTAGCCAATCAAATTGATTGTTACGTTGCCACTAAGGAATACACGTCAACATGGTGGGTATATGACTGTTGCTGCTAATGATAACGATTTGTAGTAAAAGTAACCGAAATCCCAACACGTTTTTATACTAACACGATTAGAATTTTAAACAACTATGCATCGTTTTACCGATTTAGAATAGATAAATTCTGCTTTCTGTTTACACAAATCGGGCCGAACCTTGATATTTCGTTCTCATGTCAGGGGCTTCAGTTTACTACATAGATATAGAAAACTGCCGATAAATTGCACCTCTTTATAACGATAAATCGAACAAAGTCGAGTGAACTAGCTTTGCTGTGATTATAAACCATTTTTGCTCCAAAAGTAGATAATTAATCTGACTAGTAGAAAGCTTGATAATTTTCAAATTGAGTGTGCTAATTTTGTAATAAATAATGTTATTTTCTTTATATTTGTAAAACAAAACTCCTACTTAGTGTATACAAATTAAATGCCACACTATAATGTATGTCTCTTTCTGCCGAAGTACGATAAGCAGTATCTCTAAATAGATCCAGATGACACTGGAAAGCTGAGTCATTTTCCGATTGTGTCTTGAAGTTTTGATTCATTAGGAACATATTTTTGTTAAAAAATGATATTCACTTCTCAGTGACCGGAAAATGGATCTGGTCAGGTTGGCCAATGAAGTCTGTGCACAGAAACTAGTGTTGTCTGTCAATACACTTGCACACTTTTAGTGTCAGTGACGTCACAGGTGGGCTAACAAATACAAAAGCTAATGCCGAAGAATGAAGTCCCTACTGGGTTTAATTTCTTGTTCTTTCTATATCATGCGTCTCTGACTGGTTTGACTGAGGACCTGTGTATAAAGATTCTTACAAAATAGCTATATATTTATTATTGTTACAGCATTTAAATAACTTCCTCTGACTCACAGAAAGGCACAGAAGCATGATATATTAAGTGACAGGTGTAAAGCTAATTTTCACAATAATACTACTAATAATAAGACAAGTTATGTGTTTTTTCCTTTACCTCAAATATTTCTCCAAATTATAATGCCACAATTCAGACCTTTTCATACTTCATCCTTAAAGTGCTATGAGATATTGCAGGCGTTAAAAAAAAACAATTAAAAACAAAATAAAACAGATTGTGTGTATGTAAAAAGTTCCGAAATATTAAAGAAACGATCTGTTAAAAATTCATTCTTTTTGAAATTTACTTAGTTTTCTTCTGTTTTTAAAACATGAAATGGAATGAACTTTAAGAGTACAATGGCATAAAAATAGAGCGAGGATAGAATTTAAGCTACATATGTATACTGTTTTCCTAGACATATTATTGAACCTGTCAAGGACCATTTAGGAAAAGATTAAAAAAAAAAAAAACTTGTACAAACGGTTTGATATGTTTTTGATTTACATGTACAAATCATATCTGACATTGTTAACAGTTGGCGGATGGTCGGAACTATTTGGGCTAACCCATAGCACACTGTATAATATATTATTGCACAAGGCTACTTTGTACCTGTCTTAATTGAATAAAATAATATTTGTTTTATTTCTTTAAAAAAATATCAACAATATGTTTCTCTTGATTTTCAGTCAGCCCTATTTAATTTCCAAAGCCTTCTGACAGTGGTGTTACTGCTGATCTGTACCTGTGCTTATATCCGCTCCATATTTCCTAGTGTCATAGATAAGAACAAAACAGGGTGAGTATATTTATAAAAGAAGCATTTTTGTGCTCTGGGTTAATTATACTAAATAGTAGTCAGAAAAAGTTATCATGAGACAATTTTTGATTCGCTACTAATTTGAATTAGCCTGTCATATTACAAATAAAAGACAACACCAAGAAAGAATGTGATATTTAGAAAAACACACAATTTTTGCACAAATTTATGAAAAAATACAAACAAGTTGAAGCCCAATATTTTTTTGAAGCTTCAATTAGAGTAGGGAAATTCATACTGATTTTATCAACAAGAATATGTTTTAAAAAGTTCTGTCATTTCTTGCACAAAAATATTTGATAGAATATGTTTATCTTATCATTGTAGATACTTCCGTAATATATGTGCATTTCTCCTAAAGTTTTCAAAATGTATTTTTTTTCTTAATCTAGATAATATTTGACAAAATGTCTTAATTCCTAATTGAGAAAAAAATCCCAGGCTGCACAGTGTTTTCCTCTTCAGTGATTTCCCAATTTTTATTTTTATTTCCAGACTCTTGGGGACATTTTGGAAATGTGCAAGAATAGGTTTGTAGTGTTTTTGAAGGTTGTATGATATTGAACGTTATTAATGAATGATTTCATTAATTGTGGGTTTACCAATAAATTTCACTATTAGAAAATTAAAATAAATGCAAATTTAACTGAGAATTATATTGGCAATTGTATATACTGCAATGATTTCGTCAAATTTTTGTTTCAATCTAATTATTTCTGCATACTATATGAGAAATTTGATATGTTTGTTTACTTGTTTACAGGAGAGCGACTGAGTCCATATGTAGCATTTTGTTGTATTGGAATGGCAGTTAGTGTGCTGTTTTTAACCTAGCTGTAAAAAATATCACATAGGACAACAAACCTTACTTTAGGAATCTACAACCATGGGAGAGAAGAGAAACTTTTATTCACTATGTCATACTGGAGTCGGGATGAGTCTATTCTTGAATCAATTGTAATCGTGGAATGATAGAAGAATAGAACATGGTACAGATGTTGGATTGGCTGATATACTGTACAGTGAACAACTAGTCTATCAAGTTATGTTTACCCTTTCATAGGAAAACAAGGACCTCAACAAGAGATCACACTGTGTTATGTTTAATATTATAAAATGAAAACTCTAATTTTAGTACTGCTCCAACAAATTGTATTTGTTTAATTTATTATAGTCCATTTTGTTGGAGTTTGTTAAAATTTGGAAATGCAACAGAATGAAGTATATATGCATTTTTTTTCAAAAGGTTATTATTCAATGAATTACTCCAGAAGAAAGCCTAGAAATGTTAACTTTATCTATAAACTCAGTATAAAATAAAGGTACTAATAGATGAGGCCAGTACCTGTACTTAGATCATGTTTTTGTGAGATTAAATTTGAATTCAGTACCAGCAAGTGTTTGTCGCTTTACAGAAAGATGCCTTAAATCCTGTTGTATGAAATGTCAGATATTCAGTGATAGTATGCAAATGAAAGAAAAGATATGTGTATTGGAATTGTATGTTGATTGATGTGTATAAGAGGACAGTGCTTTGTTTATTAACATGCATGTACTAGTAGGTTGATAGTGTATTTGTATTCATATTTAAATAAAATTCATTCTCAACATCACACTTTGCCTTATGATACATATATGTGTAACATATGTATGCTGTATATATTCAACAATAACTTTTGTCGGGTAATAAGCCCACACGTCTGTTTCATGTTCCGTATAAAGTATTAGTTATAACATTGTACTCTTATAAGCCTACCCTGCCTTAAGTTGAGTAATGTTTTATATGTTGTCCACTTAAAACTATTACTCAATAGTTGAAGAACTATTATATTTATATTATAATTCCGTATAAGGGATTCACCATAGTAGTTTCCAAATGACAACAACGTATGTTCACACCCAGGCTGTATATGCTGTGGATATTTGATACTGCAGCTGGTTGACAATATATAAAGTGACTGCCTGTACAAAACTTTTACCTCAGTGGAGTTATTCAGCCAAACTTTGAATCGAGAAGCAACATATATATCTACCTGAAACAATCTTTGGGATATAAAGTGTATAATGATACATACAATATATACCGAGTGTATCTGCCTGACATAGGGGTCAGTGAAACTGGTTTCATTTAAACCTACTATATACGTAAGGATAAAGTTGTCATCGGGTCACAATAATTCGAAAGACTATTAATTACTTATAAAAAATATAATGATAATTGGGATTCATCACTGTTCATCACTCCCACGCCGATATTTATTAGGCAAAATTGACGTGAGTTAATGGCTATGAAGGGGAATTCCTCCTGTTTTGGTCCTAGACGAGACAAGGAAGTTAGCTTACACTGGTCATGGGCAGGTATATACGGAGTGGTTGTGCCAGTTTGCTAGGTTGTGTGCCAGTTTGCCAACACCAGTTAGATTGAAAGAAAATGGAGAACAAAGGAAAAACAATTATAGTCTGCTCTATAAAAGTGCCACCTGTTACCTGTAAAAATTTACCTGTACAGATAAATTTACCTGTATATAACATATCAATATTTTCAAATTACTATGTTGTTAAAAGATGATATACATATGTATATAGAACTTAAGTTTCTTGAAATAAAAAAATTGATACAGTTTAAAAATATTTTTAATTTCATCAAAATCTTCTACATTCATAATATATACTTACATTTTAAATAAACATATATACAAGTGAATAAAGTAGCACTACCAATATTAATTAACATCAAAAATGACTAATATTGCGAATGATAAATACAAATAGCACTAATATCATTAATGTAATTGTATAATAAACATGTAACACAAAATAGCGTTCAAAGTTATTAAATTATCATACTTTGAAGTATCACACTTTTAGTAGTGATAACACTTATTCGTCGCCGAGATCACAGGCACTCGAGGCCAGGATATTATTTTTTAAACATTGATTTTTGTTTTAGCACTCGTGACTGACGTTATTTAAACGAAATATCAGCAGAATTCAAGTTTATGTGCCGGTTGACAAATCCGAGGTCCACGGTCATCCTCCAGTTCCTCCAGGGCGTTGAACCAAACATCCTCCTTCCCCTTTCATATGGCGACTTGTCAACGATGTGAATTACCGGGCCAACAAATACATATTCGAAAAAGCCCAGCAGGTAAAATAAAAATCGCCCCATAGTTGGTGAAACGAAGATCTCAATCTTTGAGGGAGGATTATTATGTTTAAATACTCAGCAATACTTGTGTTTGCTAAATTAATCATCTTTAAACATCGATCCTCTATTTCACCTCCAAGAGGTTGAAGAGTCTATTAATATCGTATCACTAATAGTGTGGTACACCGTCAGTCCAATGACTGTACAAAATAGTACTGGTAAATGATAAGTACATTATATATGTATGCCCAATAATAAATAACACTTTCTTACTTTTAATAAATGTACACGAGCAGTTTATTGCATAGGGAATGTAAAGGCCACCAACTTACTTCCGTATCGAATGTATTGCCTATACGACACGCCTATAAAACTAGGTTTAATCAGAGACGTATATATCACATGTGTTATATATGTCTCTGGTTTAATTCAAACAGGAACGACCCATATTGGTTTAGTCATTGGAGGCATTTCGAATATCCTCCAATAATAGAATGACATTACGTCGTTCCTCACAGTGATGAAGTTTGTTTGATAATTTCTGAGCATTTTCTGCTTCTTCAAGTGCCCTTGCTGTGTTCCCTTCCGACAGAAACCGTCTCGAGAGCGCAACATGGAACAACATCTTCCATCTCATATCAAGTTCCTCCCAATCGCAGGCGACTTTCTCAAGAGCTTCGCTCGCTGAAGTTATATCGCTGCTAGAGACAGGCCCAGGGATCGGTCTTCCCCCGATTGTCAGATTGAGACACAGCAGTGCTTTGACTACAAGACTTCTTCTTATAAATTGTAAACGAAATCGCTTCTCTGCTTCGTCTGCATTACCCGCTCTTTCGAACCTCTCCATGATCTGATCGATAGAGCCCAGCAATTTGTGTTTGAGATCTTGCTTTCCTGTAAGTTTATACGACATAAGGTCTACCAAGAATTCTGCAACGTACACATTTACCGAATGTATCGCACCTAACTCCAATTTCTCAGCCGTGAATTTGATGTCATTGTATTTTTGCAGAGAGTCTTCTATATTACCCCCTGAATTTACCGATAATTGCAACTGGACAGAAAGAACCATGATTGTTGATTTTACCGGCTGTGTAGTGTGAATAATCAGACTTCCCACGTCATGAATTTGTGCAAGCACGTCACACGGTTTCTCAGCTTCCAACGAAAATCGCAACCAGACGAGCTTGGCGTCAATGACAGCTTGTGCCATACGATATTTCTCTGGGGATGGTCGTCTAGTTTTATATTCTGTTTCCCATTTCCATACAATACTACTTACACGCCGTTCTAGTGTATCGCCTTTACCATTGTCCTTGTAGGATCTTAATTCTTCATAAACGCATTCCTCATTTTGGACAGGATGAATGCTTTGCCATGCAAATAGTTGATCTGTTGTTTTCACACATGTTTGTCTTGTGATCCGTTGATAGGCTTTACGAAGTTTCTTGGCTACAAACCTGTGATTTGTGCGTTTCAATGATTTGATAAGTATGCGAAAGGGACATATGTCTACTATCTCCAAAAAGAATGTTTCTGCTCGGTGTGTCCGGCATGGATCTTCATCGATGCGATTCATTAGTTGTCGAGACATCCCCCTCCGCCTGAAGATATCCGCCATGATATATCGGGGGTCCACTGTGTACACCAGAAACGAAAACAGTTCTTGAACAACATCTTTTTGTTGTTGGTCCATACCCCTGAATAGGAAAAAAACATAGAATGTAAATTTTGTAGTATACTTCGAAATTGTAAAATTTGTAGATAAGTATTAAAACTGTGTACACCCAAATTATAAGAAAACGCACAAGTACAATGAAAGTGTGTGTTATACATGTATATTCAAGTCAATTTCAAATTAAATATCAAAGTTATAACTTATAGCCACAGATTTGTTGTTATAACGATGGTATATATTGTGTAAAAGAAAAAAAACAAAGTCATGGAAAAAACAAGCCTGGGTTAAATGCTTTCTGCTATATTTGCCCTATTCAGGAGAATGAAATAATATTTCATATTTAAACAAAGAAAAACAACAAATCCTACATTCCATAGTATCAACTGAATGGATGCGTAGTTTGCTATAAAACTGGGAAGTCTTCGCAATGTTAAACTTTAAATGCATTTCTTTATAAAATTGTATACACATATTTTTCTTAAACAAAGTCATCCAATAATCGAACAGGGGGTGTAGGAAAAATAAGGATTTCTTTGTCCAGAATCAATGACTTAGCCGTGTAGTCCTACTCAGGCACAATTGTGGGAGATGAAGTTTTTATTATCAGATTTTTAACCCTGGACAAGTAAATCCATGTTTTTTTTTTACACCATTGTGAGATTTCCTTGTCTCATCCTAGGGTTTGGACAGGGTGATTTCCCTGTCAGAGCAATAATATGACGTCACAGTAACAATTCACTTACGTCACGTCAACAATTCAATCACGTCAACGATGTGAATGATTGAGACAATAAACAGTCAAGAATACCCATTAAAGCCAGTAGGGTGAGAGAGAAATAAATATTAACCTCCTTGTTGGTGAGGTAGGGTGACCTCAAGGCTCTTGAAAGATGTTTAAGTTGCAAACACGTAATCATCGTTTCCCTTTGGTTGAGATCCACCTATCTCACCACCATGGGGTTGAAAGATTCCATTAATTAATCCTGTCCATATATTATAAAATATATATTTCTCGTAAAAAAACATAATTTGCCAGATATTTATTGTACGTGAATGTGCTATAAATTTGATATCACATATCAAAAATCTTAGTATCAACTTATGCTGTAACAGCGAGCAATAAAAAAACTATTACACATTTAAAAAAAGACAATAGAACCAATATCATCAAACCAAATGTACTTCTAGGAAATATTGATAGTACAATTATCTTAAAGCACGATGTGAAACATTTTGTCAATTTTCGTTAGTTTTAAACAGATAATTTCCAACACCCAGTGTTACACAAGAGGGAGATAATTACACTTCTAAAGTGATTTAATATGTGATTTTCTTTAATACAATTTCTTGACCTAGTAGAGACAAGAAAATATTTTTTCATAAGGGTTGGTTTTCTGGCCCCTTTTCTGTTATAACGCAAATACCACCATTCCAAAACACCACAAATTAATTATGTTTCGGTTATATTGACTGGGCCAATGTTTGAGCATTTAGGTGCATCACTAAGCCTATACGCCATACAAGCTGTCAGACGATGTTCAACGATCTATGAATTATATCTAACCATTATGACTATGTAGATTTTAAGGTTTGTAAAGATTTCTGAAATCTGAGACAGGGGCAACGAATCAGACTTTATTGTCGCTGCAAGTACTCTTATCTCCATATGTGATTATTGGAAAGAAAAATATAAACACTCCCACACATATGGATATATATATATATGTATATGTAGATATATATATGTGTGTGTGTGTGTGTGTGTGTGTGTGTGTGCGTGTGGTGGTGGTGGTAGTGGTGTCTGTTTGTATATATATTTTCACCATAAAACCTATTGATCTTGTGCAAAAACCTCATATTTGTTCTCTCGAGCGAATTCCGTGTCAATGTTTATCATCCTAACGAGAAAAATAGCAGTAACATTTTTTTTGCAATAGCGGCCATTACCATAATTGTCTGTTTAATTAGGACATTTGTGAGCTTTGGATAAAGCACTGATGAAATTTCATTCTAGATACGACCAAATATAGTTTTCAAAACTACGATAGAATTATGAATTGAAGAAAAACCAAAGCAATATTGCGCTAGTGTGCAATATATGTTTTTTTGTCTGCAAGGATAAAGTCATTTATATCTACCGTAAATGTCATTGCAACCTAGCTCAGGTGAAGATCCAAGGTGTGTGCCTCGATAGCTCAATCGATTATCAGACATTGTAACCTAGCTTAGCTGAAAATCCAAGCTGAGTGAAGATTTCGACATCCTGGTGGTTCACTCCTATCCCGGAACTCTTTGTGTTTCTCACGAGATTTCAGAAAAAAGTATAGTGTTTATGAGCGGACTTCCTACATGATGTAGCTATCATTTATTACGACTAGGCTATGTCGTATAAAGAACATTGATGTTGTTTGAAATGACCATTGCTGTTGTTTATGGGACGATAAGTTTACCCAGCCAATTCTGGCGATTTCTGAATTTTGGGGTTTCCATATAATCGATTTTCTTATCACTAAGGGGCAAGTCTTAATATAAATCCCGCGATTATACTATACCTTAATTATTAGTCGCGATCGGTCTAGACCTCGGGTATTTACTAGGCAAATGGGACCATCCGCAGCCGAGTACTTGATAGGGGTACTTGTGCATCAGGATGTCAACATAGTAGGCTACGTCATATGCTATTTTTAGTTTCAGCCTTACGATTTTTTCGACAACGATTAATTATGATAGGCTTAAAATCGCTCGTTATGAGTAACTGTATTTCCCATAATATAACAATGTAGGCATTTTCCTAAACCTGAATGGTGCCTATCTTATTCATATAATCAATAATGAGA